CAGAAGGCTACAGTGTGATTTCCATCACCCACTTCAGACTGTTCACAGCAGCCTGTAACTCCAGTTCCAAAGGCTCCAACATCCTCTTTTGGCCTCTGCAGGTACCGCCCTCACATGTACAAACCTAAACACGCACACACCACACAGCACATAATTAAACAATAAACATTTTACATTTAAGAAAGAAGGAAAGGAAGGAAGATGATTTTGTAAAATATGTTTCACAAAAATGAAAATAAACCACATTTGAGGAATAGCCTCTGGTTGGTCACATTAATGAAATTATTACAGTGCCCTGTTTGAAACAGCACTGCTGACCGTATTTGTGGGCAAGCGCTAACTCATCATGATGTGGCTGAAGACAGACTATAACATTTCCTGAACTTTTAGAATAGTTACTCCCAACTAAAGAAAGATGGCATTTTAATTATATTAATAAAATATTTCACATTATAATCTAACTCAGGCTTACTAACTGTGTTTATGAAGGTAACACTTTAAAATATTGCCCTTGTCCAAAAAATTTAAACCTTTAAATGAGACAAATCTCTAGAAATTTTGTTTTATTGTTCAGTTTATTTGGTAATAAAATGTGTCTGTTAAATAATATTCAGAAAGACATGGTGCTATGCACAGTGTGGTCTGGTTTTCCATTGTAATATCTTATATCTGAACCTGTAAATGCCATGGGGGAATTCCTTAAGTAGTTAAAATGAGCAAAAAGAACTGCAAATAAATTGAATTAAAATATAAAAATTTGGTTAATTTTATGGTTGGTCTATCCAGAGCAAATGGTGATGAGACTCTAGGAGGTTGGTGGCTCTGCAAGACTGTTTCATAGAACAAAGCAAGAACTAAATTAAACTGTCTGATGTGGTCTTATCAGAAAAAGAATAATTAAATAAGCACACAGATTCATCTATAAGACTTTTTGAAAGAACTTGAATGCTCATTTATAAGAAATGGGTTAGACTGGCTCTATCAAACCCATATCATCTAATACCAACCAGTATTTTTCTGTAATTAAATTCATATTAAATTCATATTTAACTATAATATCTACATTTATTCTCTTGGAAAATTGTTTTATATTTTTTAAGTAAAAAATATCCAAAGCAGATCTTAAAAGAATATACATAGCATAATACAATTTTGGTAAAAGCTAGGTGAAGTTATAAAGCAAGCAATGACGGCTACAAAGAAAAAGCTATTGACTGTGCATGGTGGCATACACCTTTAGTCCCAGCACTAGGGTGGCAGAGGCAGACAGATCTCTGTGAGTTCCAGGTCAGCCTGGTCTACATAATGAGATCTTGTGTGGAAAATGCCAACAAATGTCATTGATAAATATGTGACTTATGAATGGATTCCTTTTATTACATCCAGAAGATACCCAGCAGTTGCCTTATCTGAAACTATATGGTGTGTATGAGCTTTATTTGGTAACTAGGTTTATAGTTGGGAATTGAAATTAGCATGTCTCTTGATGATTGTCTATGAATTAACACATTATTCAAGTATGTTTTGTTCCAAACTGTTGTTTAAAATAACCTACACCTTAACTACATGAAGCAAGTTAACTTACGTTTCTGACTTGGGAAATGTGATGATAACTTCCTTCTGCTTCCTTCCCATGAGCATTCAATGGGACCGTTTGCATCTCCACCTTCAACAGTAACCAGTCACTTCATTTTTCATAGCAAGATATCTCAGATGGGAGACAGATACTGGGCGATGCAGATACCCTGTTCTAAGCAGTTCATTTGAAGCCTTTCCCATTGGATTTGAGAAAGTACTGAAACTAGTTTTCCAGAACCTTCTCCCTCTCCTTCATCTTGGGTTTTGTCAATGTTTCATGGGCTAAACAAGGATGATTTATATACAGCATGGGTCTGGAAGGCAGAGGACAACTTGTAAAGTCAGTTCTCTCCTTCACACACATGGGTTCTGCAGATCAAGCTCAGGTTGTCAGGTTCAGCTACAAGAGCCCTTAACCACTAGCCATCTCACTGACCCTGGCCATTGCCACAGGGGCCCTGTATAATATCAAGTTCATTAAGTTTACATCATGAAGGGGCAGGCTCATGGGGATTTCCCCTCTCCAAGCATTTATAGACAGTTAATATACAGTAGAAGAAGAGGAGGAAATTTATTTTCTTCAGTGTTGGGGTCACCAATAAGTTGGCAGAGTTTCCATGAGCAACCATTCAGTCATGTGTGCTCCTATAAATAACCATTTTTTGGTCCTTTTGAGACAGGATCTCCCTGTAGCCCCAGCTGTCCTGGATTCACCATGGAGACCAGGCTGACCTCCAACTCACAGAGATCCGCCTGTCTCTGCCTCCCGAGTACTGGGATTAAAGGCATGCGCCACCATGGCTGGCCACTGAGATCACCAAGCTATGCTTGGGTGCAATTGGTTCTTTCTGTCTCAGTGCCATATCTGAGATGAGTAGATGTGTTAAAAATCTCCTTAGAAAAATGGTTCACATAAGAGTGATCATTCCTTGGTCTAACAGCCAAAGGGTGCATTCAACCAGCAAGCCAGGGGCTCCATGTGCTGTGGACAGCCAAGGATACAGCCCAACACAAAACCAGGAACTTAACTTAAAACTTGAGGGAATTTTGTACAAGTCAATTGCACAGTTCTTGAGCATGGACTTTGCAGAGGACCAGGTCATGTCACAATGCCAAAAGGTTGGCTTTAAAAATGTGATCTGAATTACCTTCTTGCCTCAGCTGGAACTGAGAAGTTAGTGCTAATACTCTAATGTTTCATAATACCTGATTTTGATATGAGTTGTCACTGATTTCATATCAGAACATAGCATTTCTTATGAAAAATGATATAACATACATATATTATACACATATTGTTACTGGTTTAATGAAATATCTAGATAGTAAGGTTAGTTTAAAATGCACATTATAATTTACAAATGCAATGAAGATTTCTTCACTATTATCATGTGTGCATCCACTGTTGTTCCTTAAAAATATTAATTCAGGCACAGTTCGAGAGAAGGCAGGGGTCTAATATTGAGCCCATAAGCTTATCATCTCGTGGAATATGAGCCACCGTTCTCTGATACAAGTGTTCAGGCAGATGCAACCTCAGCTGAGACATCAGCCAGGAGAGAGGGGGTGTGAAAGTAGCCTCCTGCTTCCTCCTAGCCTGGCCGATGTCTCAGCTGAGGTTACACCTTGTTTGAACTGGTGTATGCAGAAAACTCTGGGTTCCACTTGACGCTCCAGCTGAAGTTTAGTTGTGGCTTCATGTCTGGGTTGCTTCAGTATTTCTGGATTGATTTCTCATTCTTCATAACTGATAGAATAATAGCTCTGCTTTAAATGTCTGTTGCTTGGGTGCTGTGGAGTTGGCTTAGTCTATAAAACACTTGCCTCGGAAGCACAAGGACCTGAGTTCCATCCTGAGCATCCATGTAACAGTCAGACAGGATGATCAGGAGCACTGTAACTCCAGTACTGGAGAGACAGAGATAAGAGGATGCCTGAGGTGTGCTGAACAGCCAGCTGGTCTCTGAGTACCAGTTTCAGTGAAACACACTCTCAAAAAGAAGGCGGAAAACGATTGATAAGACCCCTGGTATTGCCCTCTGGCCTGCCTATGCACCCCACACAACACACAAAGTGAAACTTAAAGAATGACTACCTATTACATTGTGAAATAGCGCTATTGCGTTTGCCCAGTTGCATTTCCAGGAACATTTAAGTAACGGCGAAAATCAAAGTGCCAGGAAATGCAATCCTGTTGGGCTTCTGACCATGTCTTCAGGTGCAGTACCAGAATTCATCAGCCTCAATTCACTGGATACTTCAGGGGACGGATTCAATAATACATCTTCAGTGGTTAAGGTTTCCCAAGAAGATGACTAGAAATTCACACTTGCTAACAGCTTGGCAGTGATAAATCACATAAGCGACAACAGACACCCTGGGAGAGTAGGGCTGCTCACTCTGTCTACCTACAAGTGACGAAGGCCGTTCTTTTTTTCAAATATGGAAGATAGTTTTCAGATGTTGCTCTTTCAGGCTCTCATTTCTCTAAGTATGCAAATTAGGAAATACTTTACAATGTGACACGCTCCAATAGCAACACAAACATCTTGAAGTTATCATGTGTTGTATGATATCCATAAAGCTTTTCCTGAGAACCCCAGTTAAGGACCTCATATGAGAAGTCTGTTTCAGCAAGAGAGATGTCCCAGTGGTTAAGAGCAGGGACTAATCTTCCATAGGACACAAGTTCAATTCCCAGTGAATCGGGGGCTCAAAATCACCTATACTGCCAGCCCTGGAGGGATCCTACACCTCTGAGGTCTCTGAGTACCTGTACTTGAGTGCACAGACATACATACACATAATTAAAAATAAATAAAACTTAAAGACTCATCTATTACAATGAAATTTAAAGTCAGTGCATGAATTCCAGCCCCAGAAGTCGTGCTGTCAGTCAACTGTCAAGAGAGACAGAGCTGGGTGAACTGTCCAGTGGTTTGTACCCCACCCAGTTAAACAGTATGTGCTTAAGTTGGAAAATTGAGAGAACGCAGGGTACCAGACACCCATGGCACCCAAGTCAGTAACAGATGACAGTTACTTTAGCCCATAAAGCAGGTTCATTTTATCCCATGTCATTATAATTTTCAATCATATGGCTGATGTCCTAGGATTTATTATATGTGTTCCAAACAATCTTGGCCTAATTGGATTTCTCAAAAGGGAAAAAAGTTCATCGGCTGGAGGCTTTTGGTCTCTATAGTAGCTATGTGTCTTATTATCAGTCCATGAAACAGCGTCATAAATTTGTATTGCAGGCCCATAAATCTGAAAATGTGTACCCATTTTGTAAAGTTTCTATTCTTGGTGTGCTGGAAAGCTGTGTCCATCAGCTTTGGAGAATCACCAGCCCAGTATCTCCTATGAGACTTATTTCTCAAGAAATAGATCCCACCAACATCCATTTGCTTTGTGCCTACCTGAAGAACTTCTTAATGTCTTCTGCTTGGATCATGTTGAGAATCTCTTGGTATACCTGAGGATCCTTTGTCCCTGAAGCTGGAGCATCAGAAGTGCAATTTGGATGCGTATAATACCCGATGTAGAGTCCAAGAATAAATAGAATGGTGGCCGTGCAAAGTATTTTCAGAAAGTGACAAAATTTGCAACGGCTGCTCTTTGCTGCAGATCTTGTAAAGTGGGAAACATAGTCAGGTTCTTCTTGAAGTCTCTGGAATCTTCCTTTGGGTGAAGTTGCTGGCTGAAGAGAATCAAGACAGAGATCTGAAGTCTCTGAGTGCCCCAGGTTCTGACTCTCAGCATGGTCCAGCTGGAACTGGTCAAAGCCAGGCTCCTCTAGCTCCTTCTCCATATCCCATTCCAAGTCAAGGGCAGTGGCTTGAAGTTCATCATTGTCCGAGTACTGTGAATGTGCCGAGGCTATTAGATCCGCATTGACCTTCTGATAAGCCATCTTTCTACCTGGAAAGAAGAGAAAATGAAAAAGCACACTACATTATAACAAGTAGTTTATTTTTAAAATCAAGGCATGAACAAAATAAAACCCAATAAAGCCTACAGAGTGGTATAAGGATAACGGGGCTAATTGACTGCAGGTGGCTTTAGGTCTATACCCCACTGGTGCATTATCAGTGCAGATTAAGAGTGTTTATGCTTAAGTTTTGTGTGTATTGTCACTTTTGGTCACTGAGGTTCCTCATAACGCCATCACATTTCTATGCATCTCAGTGTGATGGATGAAATACAGAGCTCACAGGACAAGTCAGTTACCAGTTCATTTTTTAAGTAAAAATTTTAATTGAATTTTGCATTTCATACAATATATCTTGATCACATCCAGACCCCTCATCTGCCACACCTCATAGCCCCCCACCAGATTTCAAGCATTCTGTCATATATATTAAGGCCTATTGAGCCAAGCCCATGTCCACAAATATCCCTTTGTGTGAGTCTGTTCACTGGAGCCTGCCAAGCTATCTTGTGTCACCCCCTTAAAGAAAATCAACTCCATCTCACCCAGGAATGATCATTTGACAGTTGTTCCTCCTCCTCTAAGGTTAGAATTTCGAACTCTTTTCTTCACTCCTGTACTGTGTTTTTGTCTGGGTTGAATTTGCATAGGTCTTGTGCATGCTGTCACTATTGCTGTGAGTTCTTATGAGAAAGTTCCCAGGCAACTGGTAAACTGTTTCCTTGTGGTCCTCCACCACCCATGGCTCTTACTGTCTTTCTGACCCCTCTTCTCCAATGAGCCCTGGCTGGCTGAGGTTTAATATATTGAGTCCTTCCAAGGACACACACTTGGCAGTTTCTTATTCTCTGCAATTTGAACAGTTGTTTTTTGGTCGGCTTTTTTTTTTTTTTTTTTTCTTAAGACATACTCTATAGCTCTAGCTGGCCTGAAACTTGCTATGTGGTAGATGAGGTTGGCCTGACCTTGACCTCACAGAGATCTGCCTGTCTCTGCCTCCCAAGTGCTGGGATTGAAGGTATATACCCCACACCTGCCTATTAGTTAATTCTTAATGCTGGGGTTGACAAATAAGTATTAATGACAAAAGATAGAACTGGGACTTTGTGAGAAGAGGTCCATTATCCAAAAAATTCTGACTACAAATCTTGGCTAAAAATGGCCTGAGTAATTAAAATGTTCTAAAATTCCAGGATCATTAAATATAATTAAATATCCAATCATGTACAGTAAAAATTCTAAAATTCTGGTATTCCACTGTTTCATACAGAATCCATTTTTTCCTCAATGGACCCCCCAAGCAAGGAGTAGATAATTTATTTTGGTCACTCACTAAAGGCCAGATGAAAGAGTGTCTGTTCCCCAAATAGGAAACAGTACAATCAATCTGAGGAGACAAATGCATACAAAAATGCCAAGAAGACAAATGAATTATGCAACTCTCCAGGGTGACTTGCAGAGACCTGCTCTAACAGAAAGCATGGGAAATAGTTTTAAGAAAGTGAACTCCTAAGTTTGGCGTAGTGGCTCAGATATTCAAAGCACTGACCACTCCTTCAGAGGATTGGAATTGAGTTCCCAGCACCCACATGGCTGCTAACAACCACCTGGAAATTCAGCACCCTCTTCTGACCTCTGTAGGCACTGCACACGTGGTACACATACACACATGCATGGATACACTCATATACATAAAATTAAAAATAACTTTTTTAAAAAAGAAATATGAGTGCTGTAGCTTTTGGCAGTTTGGGCAAAAGAGAAAGAACGTGAATGGGAAGTTAGAAGGAGAGAGCTTGTAAAGACCCAGAGAACATGAGCCACAAATGCGAAGCAATCTCTAGGAGAGGAGAATATCAAGAAAAAAGTAGAATTCCTCTGCAACTGACGCTGTCGTCTAGGACGTGGGCTGGGTAATAGTACGAACACAAGGTTATTCACTGCATGTGCATTAGTTTAGATTGGCTGGATGCAGCATTTTCTGCTTTTAGAGGTAATAACTGTAAAAAGCTTGGAAGAAAAGAAGCAAATTAAACATTGCAGATTAAAATACATAGTTCTGTTGACATTGTAGATAACTGCAGAAGCCTACACAGTATTCACACAGTGATTGGCAATACGGCTCAGCAGTTCAGAGGACAAACCGCTCCTGTTGAAGACCCAAGTTCTGTTGCCAGTCCCCATGTCAGGTGGCTCACAGCTGCCATAACTCCAACTCCTGGGGCATCTGATACCACTGGTCTCTGAGGTCACCTGTACCCACATAATTTAAAAGTAATTCCAAGGAAAATGTTTAAAATATCCACACACATAGACTATAGTTCATATTTGTTTTTCTTCTTAATAACATTTAATATATACTGTGGCTTGAATGGAAAATGTCTCTGTAGACAGTAGGTATTTGAGATGTGTGGAAAGCTCTAGCTATGGGGCCTAGCTAGTAAACATAGGGTTGTGAACATGTGATTTAAGGAATTTCATCCTGCCCCATTTCTGGTCTTGTTCTGCATCATGATCCACAGAGATATAAGCAACCATGCTGCAGACACATGCAGCCCCTTTTCATTTCTTGACTTCTGCAAACACTCACCTGCACATAAATACACATACGTGAGATTAGCAGGTAGGATCCACACACAAGTAGGGACATCTGAGCTCTTTAAGCCTTAGCTCTCCGTGTTTATTTGTGTATTTTCACTGTACCTAGCCTTGAGGTTCATAAGCATCATTTCTGTGAACTCTGTCATGCACTTCAAGGTCCTTGCACTGTGCCCTCCTCTTCCTCAGTCCTCTCCCCTTTATCTGTCCACTGATTCTCCAAAAGCTCACCTTCTGCAATATTGCTTCATCTGTTCAGTGTCAGCGCAGTTATTGTCTAGATTTTCCCCTGTTTTAATAAGCAAAGATATCGATCTATGGTTCTCTCATTTACCTACCTCATTTTTCAAAAAATGAATTGTAAGACATGGCTTATGCTTGAAGAAGACTTGGCATCCAGGAGTTATGACAGATATGTGGGAGTTCGAATTCTGACCTCTAATACAAACATTCAAGTTGTTTCTCTACAAACGATTTAAAACCCAGCTGCAAGGGTGAAGCCAGGCTTTCATCTCTAACCTGATGACAGACACTCCATCATAAGTACATCAGCAATTTAACGCTTTTCAAACATCATGCAGAGCCATCAACTAGGGTAATGCAGATACAGATCTTAGCTGCTCACTAGATTGGACCTCTGCCTGACACCCTCACTACCTTCTAGACTCATTATACACTCATAAATTTTCAAAGAAAATCTATCTTCTAGGAGAATACTATCTAGATCCAAGGTAGAAGTCACTTCTTTAATAAAAATCAGAAATATTTCTGGAAAATTACCAAGGGAATGAGCATATGATAACTTATATAATCAAACATCTTAATAATTTTCTTAGAAAAATAAATTATACTAATATATATATATATTACATGCATACATACAAACAATATTTTACCCATGCATAAATAAATATACTGGCATACATACATATATAATAAAAATTCCAACTTTATTAAAGCATCATTTTCCTTATGGGAAAGTATCATAGATTTCTTACAAAACTATGACACCCACTTTTCTCTAACAATTTAGTTTCACTTAAAATATATTCAGCGAATTTATTAAAACCAAAGCTAAAGGATAAACTACCAAATAACTACAATTTTTGTAATATGTTCTAGTTTGAGGTAACATAAATGCCTCCATGAATACAACAAGCAATGCCCTTCTCTTCAAAGTAAAATAACTGCTCTGAGGGGCAAATAAATAACAATATATTTCTACCACCTATAACTTTTGAGTGTCCAAGAAAAGTGGAAATTTAATATTACAAAGAGAAATTATAGATATGCTTTAGTTATTATGATATAAATTATGTTATTCAAACTACTGATGTTTCTATTACCAATGCACATAATTCATTTAACTTAGATTGACATAATAGTTTAATGACTTAACAATAATACACACAACAGATTTTAGAATATTCCACATAAACATCTCACTGAAAAATTATTGTCTGATAGAGATAAGCTCATAGACTTTGTGACATTTCTTCTAACAGAAGCATCTTTCTTTCTGTTCTGTTCTAAAGTATCTTTACTGTCAATGGTATGACATTTGATCTTTTTTATAATCCAAGTGTTTTGTTTTGTTTTGTTTTGTTGAAACAGGGTCTCCCATAGCCCCAGCTGGCCTGGAACACACTATGTAGAAAAGACTGGCTTCAATCTCAAAGAGATCAACATGTCCTTGTCTCCGGTGCACTGGGCTTAAACGTAAGCTTTATGAAAAGTGTAATATCTGTATGTTTTTGAAGAATTTTATTATCTAAGATCCCCTTGTCCCTGAATATTAGAGACTAATATTTTTCATCTAATATACTAAGCATTGGTCTTTTATATACATTATACTTCTATAAGGAAAAATAAGGCGGACACAATTTTGACTAAAAAAATATTTTTCAGACTATGGTAAACTTAGATTGATAAAAAATGCATTTTCAGAGCTGGGACAATCACTCAGTAGGCAAACTACTTTCCATATAAGTATGTTGGCTTGAGTTCAGATCCCTAGCATCCACATAAAAGTCAGGAAGGCAGGGAGTGTTTATAAGCCCAGCACTGGGTATGCTGAGACAAGTTCCTTGGAGCTCCCTGGCAGCCAGCTTAACTGAATCCATGAGCCCCAGGTTCTGTGAGAGAATCTCAAAAAATAAGGTGGAAGGCAGTGGAGGAAGAGACCTGACATCCACCTCTGGTCTCCACATGTATGCACACTCACATCCACACATGTCTACACATCCAAATAAACACATCTATATACCACATACACAAACATATGCACACATGAATTTGCATATATACAGAAAATATGATTAGTTTAAAAATAAGTCTGTTCTTTTCTAAGCTGTTTCTCTTACATGTTCTTACTGGATGACACAAGAGAAAT